CTTTATCTTCTTCCTCGATTTTCACTCCGAGGTTGGCAAGCTGTGTGATTAGTCCGTTAAACACATTTAAATGTGACAAAAAATTCGTACCTTCACTCATGTGTAGGGCGTATAACTGCTTCTTCAGGTACAATTTATTTGTCAGCGTTTTGGACATGTATAGGCTTTCCAACCTTGTCCAAATTCCACGTGCAGTGTCTTCATCAATGATGTTATTTACCACACCATATGATAAGTGCAACCTGATTGCACTAACAACTCTTTCATCCAAGTCAGCTCAATCCTCAGCTTTCATGGTATCAGGCTTTTTGGAATCAACATCTAGAACCTTGTGTAATCCTTGTTGGATGAGCAGATCTCTCATCCTTCTTTGCCATGTTGAGAAACCGTTATCTCCGTTGAATTTTGCTACCTCGTACTTTACTCCGGACATTTTTATTTTTCACCAAGTATAGTACTACCGACAGTGAATAGTATTTCAGTGAACGAGCAGAACCTGTGCTCTGATACCAGTTGTTGGGAATAAACCCCCTACCAAAATAATATTCACGATAATAAAAGCGGAATAATAATGTAGCACCGAGATACGGTAATTAACAAGAATAAAAGAGCAACAATGACACCATGATTTTTACGTAGAAAACCCTTCTGAATAAGGGAAAAACTACGACCCCGAGAGGAGCAACTGATATCACTATAGTAAGAAATTTACACTTTGTAGGCCCGAGTAAAAATACTACAAAGACCACTACAATACTCAAAAGAAATAACCCTCTTTTGATATTTCACCTCACTACAATATCGCTCACACTCTCTATTTTCTTCACAGACTATTTTCTTATACCCTGTCTGTGAAACCTCACTCTTTCTTTCTAGCTCTCAGATATATTTTCCTCTGAGATTGTGATTAAAGAATGAGAGCCGAAGCTCTCATTTTATAGGCAAAAATATGCCTACCAATCTTGACCTTTCAACTTCTACAGCCTGTCATTTTTAACAGAAAAATGAGAAACGTGGGCTGCCTGCTTCTGCTAACTTTGAAAATGAAGAAGAAAGGAAGAAAACAACTTCCTTGAATTAAGGGGCTGAACCCCACTTGCCAGAGGGAAATCAAGGAATGGATAGTTTCAGAAGAGGAAGTATAATGATTAGCGTGGCAGTAGAGATAATTAGACAAGATAAATAGATCGTAGGCTTATGCGATGGAAAATGCCGAGAAGATGAAGAGTTTTAACGAAGGCACACATAACACAAACAGGTGATATAGAGTGTCCAGACTCCAGACCGTCCTCCATTTCTAAATCAAAGGAGATCTAAAGACAATTTAAAGAACTCACCATCAGAATTAGACGAAATTGGACACATTTCCATCCGATTGGAAACCTATTTTGATTAATAAGCCAAGGACGGATTGACAATGAAAATACACCAATCCTATTAATGATCTACACGCCCTTCTTAGTTCGTACAATACATAAATCTATATATATATATATATATACATATATACTCCTCTAGTTTCTTTTTTGCTTGTTGGGTTTTTTCTTTCATTAGGTAATACCAATTTTAGGTATATATATTCCAAGTTCATTTTGTCCTCCTTGTGAACAGAATAGCTGCTATTATTGCCGATGGTTGCCATGGTGAATCAGATAAATATGGCTACTAGTATTCCCAAGACCATGGTAGGTATGCTGAGGGAGCTTTCCTGCAGCTTTCTGATAACAGAGAGGAACAACCATCTGCGGCTTTGCCATCGTCTGACGGACACACATCTCATTATAATTAACTTGACCACGATACCATGATGAAGTTACAGTAGTTGGAGGACTAGCTGCAGCTGTGGTACAAAATGACTTAGGCGAGTTCGCATCACAATTACTAGAAGTAGTGTTGGTGGTTGTAGATGATGAAGAAGCAGTGGAAGAAGGAGAAGAGACAACTTTTTTTGTGGATTTGGGTGGTGAAAGAAAAGCTCTGATCTTGAGGGAGGACGATGGTGATGCAGCCGCAGCACGATCATATTCTTCAATGAGATTGACGAGATCTTCATCAGAGGTGATTGACACAAGTGCATCCAAATCTTCTGTTGGCAATTGACACCTTAAAGTACTCATTGCTCCACACATCTCCCTTAGCTTCACCATCAGCTCTGTAAATCACACATCCCACATAAATACCATTTTTTTTAATAAATCTACTACTCCAATCCATAAATATTGTCAAGTAGAGTATTTGTGGACCTATGCCGAAATATTAGTATATATAACAAAAATAACAAAAATAAGTGCAATGACATTTTGCATCTATTGGGTAGCTTATTTAAACATTCCTTAATTGATCTCAACGAGTTGCAAGGGACACTTGAATAAAAGAGGAAAAAATGGGTAATTTACCAGCAAAAGAAATGGAACGATGAACGGAAAGGACACGGGTATAGCCGCCATAATAACGGAGTTTGCCGTCAGGATGACGGGGAAGAATCTTGCCACCATAGCTGGAGAGGAATTTGATATTGGTGGACTTATTAAGGGGTAGTTTATGAGAGTTGATGGAAGTTCCAACCATGATATAATTGAGATATTAGAACTGATAATGAAGATGGGTCCGTATGAATTTGGAAAAGAACAAGTGGGACACCTATGAAGAAAGAGGGAAGAGAGGTTTGAAGATGATTTTTACCCTAGTGACTTCTTCAAGCCTGTGGAAGTTTCACTTCAGAACTCATTTATATACTTGTTTGAAGAGGCAGGGGAGAACGAGTGAGATTTCGGGCCGGGCCGGGCCGGGCCGGATTGGATAAACTAGTAGTGAGACCCCACGCATATGTCAGCTAAGATTCCATACTTGTGGGCTTCAAATTTTCATTTTCGTTTATCTTTTCAAAAAGTGATGGCCATATCTTATACTCCTACACAAATATATTTTCGATCTAGAACAGGAGTATCGTTATTTATGCAGTCCTCCTTCCCCCGAATGTGGGTACGTCGAAACTGTTATGCCCTGGCCTCTGGCTACGTTGGGTTCATATTATTGCAGGTTGAACAAAGCTTGTGATTTCACGGGATTAATTTTTGACAATTATATTTTTACAGTATACTGTTAGGATCGGAAATTTGAGTAGTGCGGAATTTAGCCAAACAATATTATTATGACAATAACAAAGACAATGCAAGTTGATAACAACGACAATTAAGCATATAAAAACGACACATATTTAACGTGGTTCGGTCAAAGTGACCTATATCCACAAGCGGAGATGAACAAATTCACTATAGCAACAAGAGTACAAAAGATCGTACAAAATTAGAGTAAATACTCTAATTTAATCTCAAATACACCCGAGGGAATAACCTCACAATATCACTCCAAAGAAAGAGGATCACACAAGTTTTTTCCAATACTCAACTCTCTTTCAAACAACTCTCAATAAAGGAGGAGAGGAAGAAACAAGAAATGAAGACTCAAGTCGTGTTTGTGTGTCTAAAACGAATTAATGGCATTTCTTTGGGCTCCAAGGTGTAAAAGAAAAGATACAACTTGTACAAATGATATTCACCACACAATGCAATATTTTTGGGTTCCAAAGGATATTGCCAACAAGGTCTACTTTGCAAAAAGGCTTATGCTTATGTGAGATGGACTCCACTAGCCAAAATATTGGCCATATTACAAATCTCCACATTGGCCTAATTTTGATTGATGTACTCCCTCCGGTCCATAATAAGTGACCAATTTATTTTTTTATTTTGGTCCAAAATAAGTGTCCATTTATATAATTAAGAAAGAATTCAATTTGTTTTTACAAAATTACCCTTATGTACATATCCCTCAAAAGTTTTCTTACTCCTCACATTAAATATTTAATTAAGGGTAGTTTAGTCATACTAGGTATTTTTGTATAGAATATAGTATTTTCTTAATGGGCGTGCCAAAAGCAAATTGGTCACTTATTGTAGACCGGAGGGAGTAGTAAATTTGCTCTACCCTCTCCGCAAAAGCCCCAATGGGCATATGTCAAATTTAATGCCATGAAAATCAAACAAGTTGTTTGATACCGAAATTGTAGTACGACTTATAACAATGGATCCCAATAAATATAAACACACCAGATCTGTGTGCTTTCATGATCACAAGAGCACCATGAAATTTTTTCAGAACTCCACCTTCACCTGTGAATTTGCACTCAAGGGATTCTAAAGTGCCCAAAGAGATGAGATTTTTCTTCAACTCACGAACATATCTTATATCGGTGAGAGTTCTCACCACACCATCGTCATTCTGATATGAATTGTACATTTGCTAATAACATTAAAAGTAACATTGTTACCCAGATGGACAACTCCACCTTCAACTAAATCATATGCAGAAAACAAGTCCCTTCTAGAACACATATGATATGAACACCGGAATCTAAAATCCACTCATTATTTGATCTGAAACTAGTTTTAGTTGCTAAAATTATAGTTCCCTGAATCTCATCAGTTGCTACACTTGTTTTGGTAGTGTCCGTATTTTTGTGCTCATTTTTCCTTTCCTTATGCTTTTCTTATTTTTCAGTTTATAACATTCCGCGATAATGTGACCTTTCTTATGACAAATAGCGACACTCTAGATTATTGTATCTGGATATTGAGTCAGATTTGCCTCTAACAAACAAGACAACTTCCGCTTGAGTTCCATTATCTTCCCCAGTAATATCACTATCTATTTGTTCTTTTGATTTTAAGATAGATTTAATATCCTTATAAGATATATTATCCTTTGCATAAAGCATAGTATCTCTTATATGCTTAAAAGATGGGGTAGAGAACAAAGCAGTAACACGATTTGATCCTCATCTTTAATTTTAGCATCTATATTACTCAAATCCATAAGAATAGAGTCAAATGTGTCAAGGTGAGAGAGAATAGATGTACATTCACCCATACGAATTGTATAAAGCCTCTGCTTCAAGTAAAGTCTATTTTCCACTGTCTCATATATAAGGTTTTCAATTTTTCCCACAAACCTTTGGGCTGTGGTTTCTAAAGAAATTTCACTTAAAACCTCATTTGAGAGATTTATGATGATACCTGATTTTGCCTTTTTATCTATGATGGAAAACTCATCGTCCGTCATTTTATCCGACTTCTTCTCCTTTTCTTGCAATGCAGAGTCTAAGCCATCCTAAATTAGGATAGCTTCCACCTTTAATTGCCACATTTCGAAGTTTGTATTTCGGTCATTTTGGCTATTGAAACTAACCCGGTTAGATCCGGCTCTGATACTAATTTGTTAGGATCGAAAACTCGGGTAGTGCGGAACTTAGCAAAACAATGTTATAATGACAATAACAAAGGCAATGCAAGTTGATAACAATGACAATTAAATCATATAAAGAAGACACAAATTTAATGTGGTTCGGTCAAAATGACCTATGTCCACATGCGGAGAGGAGCAAATTTACTATAGCAACAAGAGTACAGAAGAGCATACAAAATTAGAATAAATACTCTAATTAATTCCCAAATACCCCAGAGAGAATAATCTCACAAGATCACTCCAAAGAAAGGAGATCACACACGTGTTTCCCAACACTCAACTCTCTAACAAACAACTCTCAATAAAGAAGGAGAGGAAGAAACAAGAAATGAAGACTCTAAGTCTTCTTGGTGTATCTAAAATGAACTAATGACCTTTCCTTTTATAGGCAAAAAAGTCTTGACCTCCAAGGTGTAAAAGAAAAGATACAAGTTGTGCAAATGATATCCACCACACATTGCAATATTTTTGGATCCCAAAGAATATTGCCAACAAGGTTACTTTGCAAATAGGCTTATACTTATATGAGATGCACTACACTAGCCAAAATATTGGCCATATCATATAAACTTATATGATCAACATAAGGCTATCATTTTTTTTCTATAAATTTGTATTACATCAAAAGAAGGAAAGAGGAAGATGATACTATGCCATTGATAAGGTTTGAGCACTCTATCGTCAACCGTGAATGTCTCACCAAGTGAGCTAACTCTCAACCTCAGGACGCAGGTACCAATTCTCACCTTAGGCTAATATTCCCTATTCGTTTCCACTATATTTTTTAACTGGTTGCAACACTTTCCCACTAGTAAATTTTATGCACTACGAGAAATTGCATCTAAAAAGCAAGTAGCTTAGTTGAATTATCATGCGATTTGTAATACTTGAAACAAATATCCAAGGATCAGTAGAAAAGTTACAAGGAAAAAAGAGGTAAAAAAGACTTCTCAAGTCTTGTGGAAGAATATAGGACACAAGGAGTTTGGGGGTCAAATTAAAAATGACAAAAGTTGTAGGTAATTTTGAACATATCCAACATTTCCTGAGATATTTCAAACATCCATCGGGGTGAAGGAGGAAAGGGATATTTTTGTAAATAAGAAAATTTTGGGGATTTTAAAGTATCCTTTCTACCTTCCTATAGTACCAAAGTAAAAGCGCAATTCTCTTTGTAAGATCAAATAATGCTTTGTCTTATGTGAACATTCACCCATAATATAAAATTATTGAATATCAGTGGTTAGAGAAGCCTTCCACAACAGCCAGCATACCTTATAAGTCATTGATAAATGATGAAAATACATGATTTTGGGTATAGTTTCATAACATTCTATATGTTAGTTGTGGGATATTACATGTTTATAAACATAAAATATGCTCATTATATGGTTATTGTGGGTAGGAATGAGTCTGGATGAAAGTTGGCAAAAATTAAATGATTTAATGCAAAAAGAAATTGAGAGGCAAGAGTTGGGAGCGTGCCACAGTTGGTGTATTGCATGAAGGGTAGGCGCGAAATGACTTAATAAATTAATCAAAACCAGTGAAGTATAGCAATTTGGCACTGGACATGGCACACGAAAGAAAAAAAGAATGGGAATATTTCTCGATGATGGACTTCTTAGACAATTTTCTTGAGGGTTTAATATAAAAAAAAAGATTTTCTTTCTTTTTTTTTGAAATTTTAATAGAATGGGAAGCACTTGAGTGTCTATATTGCTGACATTGTTTATATCGGGGCCTAGAGGTGGAGCATTTGTGCTTAGTACTTTCTTCTTGATTCTTGTGGCCATATGCCTTGAGATTATATGTGGCTTTCTTTTGACGCTTGGGCTTGTCTATTGACTCTTGTTGTTACTTCCTTGTATTTGGATTATATGATGACTGTGCTAATTGCTTTAACTTAAGAGTCGGGTCTGAATCATCCTGAGTGAGTCATGTGCATTGTGTGAGGTGAGATTTTGGTTGTACTATGTACCATCCTTTATTAGTCTAGAACTTGCCCTGTGTTTGAGTTCGGAGACTTCGGAGTCTCTGGCCTGGAGCTCCTCCCTCAGCTGGACACCTTCCTTCTCAAACTGCACGAATCAGATCCAAGATGTTAAAACACTGGGATCTGGCAAAGTATTCAAATAATGACAAACGGGGACTCGATAACCTGTTCAGTAAGGAGAGCCTTCTCGTGCTCATGACGGGTTACCTCGGCCTGATACCGGGTGAAAGTCTGATTGTAAAGTGCCTTGGCCTAAAGCCACGAAAAAAGACAAGTTAGAAAGACAAAGGTCAGAGAAACCGAGCCCTGAGCAACAGGCAGGGTTCACAAAGATTACCTGTTCGCAAAGCCTTCTTATCTCACCAAAGACGAGGGAGGCATCGATCTCAGGGATTCCCTCGGGAACGGTTGG